CCTTATCTGTGACCGGGACCGACACAATATGACAGATTAGGGAGGGGAGACTATTCGTTATCGTTCATATCACGTACAATCGTACATCGTTAATCGATATTGAATTTAAGGGCTATCAAATCGTATTGTAATCGTATTACAGTTGAGCTAAAAAATACTGCGTGATGAAGTTGACTATAATACACTTACAAAGTTAGAGGGGGGAGAGGACACACATTTTACCACTTTAGAAGTGTCTCGCGCTAACTATTCAGTTTAGAAAAATATGATATTATTATTAGGAACCTCTGGCCTACTGGCCCGAGAAAATCTCCAACGTCGAGCTATTGGAACGCTGCCACGAAATTCCGATCGACCAGCAGATCAAGCGCCGCAAGTGGAACTGGATTGGCCACACTCTCCGAAGGGACCCCGATCACATCCCTAAGCAGGCTCTGGATTGGAATCCCCAAGGAAAACGCAAACGTGGTCGACCCAGGCAAACTTGGCGGCGCACTGTAGTGGACGAGGCGAAGAAGATCGGCAAGACCTGGAGCGAGATCAAGCGAGAAGCTCAAGACCGAACGAGATGGAGAACTGTTGTGGACGCCCTCTGCCACATCTAGGGGACATAGGATCATAAGTCAAGTAAGTCATTAGGAACCTCAAATATCATTTCTGAAGATCTATCCATAGATACCCCACACGTATGTATGGGTTTAATAATTTTTTTTTTTTGAGTTATAGTTCTAAGTAAGTACCCCCCAGTGGGACAAAACGTCCCCAGAACTGTAGCACTTTAATACCTACCTTAAATTATGTTATTGTTTGCGTATTAGTCGAGGCCCCCAGTAGGGTTAGAGATTGTCGTAGGTGGCATCTCCATCGCTGTCGAGTCTACCATGAAATACCTTGGATTGATACTCGACAGCCGGTGGAACTTTAAGGCTCACTTAAAGGTTCTGTCCCCAAAGTTAGTAGGAGTGTCCGGGGCTTTATGCCGGATTATGCCCAATTTGAGAGGCCCACACATGGGATGCCGCCGTCTATTTGCAGGGGTCGTAAAATCTATGGCCCTGTACGGAGCACCCATCTGGGTAGACCTAGGAAGGGAAAACATCTCGGCTTTGAGGAGGCCACAACGCATTATGGCCAAAAGATTAGTGCGCGCATTCAACACGGTCTCCCGTGAGGCTGCGTGTGCACTGGCAGGTACTCCCCCGTGCCGTGGGAGCTAGAGGCAGAGGTGCTGGCAGAGGTATAGCACCGAACCGCTGCCGCGAGGAGCATCGGTAACCCTCCAGCACCTCGGTCGAGCACTGGCGTGAGGAGGCGCGCAAAGCAATCATCGATGGGTGGGCAGACTGGCTAGCAGAGCCTAGCGCAGGACACCGCACAGTCACCGCATTGCAGCCCTGTTTAAGACAATGGCTGGAGGCACGCGGGGGTCCTCTCACTTACCGGATGGTGCAGGTGTTGACCGGACATGGCTGCTTCGGAAAATACCTGCACCACATCGGTCGCGAGAGGACCACCGCGTGTCACCACTGCGATGACCCGGTAGATACGGCGGAGCACACGCTTGAGGTGTGCACGCGAAGCTGTGATTGCCACAAAGGAGGCGGCGGAACGGGAAAGGGAGGAGGATTCTTCTGCCGATCCCATACGCCGCAAGAGGGTGGGCCAGAGGCGGCGGGCTTTTGCGCGCCGTCTCTGATATCTAACTAGGAGAAGACTGATGAGCGCCAGTCGACAGGCTCTTTACACCTGTCGACTGGATGACTGGATCTTATTGTAAATAATTGTTATGTGTAAATTATGTTCTGTATATGTTTGTATAGTTCTGTATATAGTATGCGCGAAAGCGCACTGGTACAAACTGTCCGCGGTACAAAAGGTGGGTCCGCACTGCTGGACAAACTGGGCATAGGCCGAAATAGGGACAAGGTTCGCTATACCGGCATTTCCCCTATGCCCAGAAAGAAGGACATTCGTAGTTGTTTTAGTGGGTAGGCCTTGCCCTTCTGGCATGGAGAGCCCCACATAACCCGTCGCCTGACCACAGCGGCGGGTATGCAGTTTTATGCATTTTTTCCACGTACAAAAACAAAAGGGGTCAATTGTTGATGGGGTCAAGTTGTCACAGGGGTCCAGTTGTCACTAGAGATGGGTAGTGGGTAAAAACCCATTTCACCCGATTGGGTTAAAACTGGGTGATTTGGGTAAAAACCCGGTTTTTACCCATTATCACCCATTCTGGTGGGTGAAAACAAAAATAGCGTTTTTTTAAAGTGAGAAGTGGTATTTGTTGCTAAGGGGGCGTTCTAGTGTTACGTAATGCAATCTGGGGGGAGAGGAGGTCTTGAAAAACGTTACAATGCGTTACAGTGGCGGAAGGGCGGTTCGATTTCAAGTTTTTAAGCAGAAGTACCTACTTTGTAGTTGGTGTTGTTATTTGTAACTTTATACCGTAATGTCATCAAAGAGAGAGTTTGGCATCTTTGGCATCCCCCCCCCCCCCTCCATGTCCTTGCCATGATCACAAATTATTGTGTTCTTACTAAATTTCTTCTAAATCGGTTCAAATATTCTTGAAATAACACCATTTTATAAAATAATTGGTCACATCATCATAACGTGATCAATTTTACGATTTGGCCACGATATAAATGCATATTAGTGTTAAATTTGACTTATTACTTATTAATCAATAAACTTAAATGAGAAAAATTCAATAAAAATAAAGAAAAGATACCAATTGAAATAATTATAAAATTATTTGTTTTCACCCGGTGTAAACACCCACGGGTGGAATGAAACGGGTTTTTATTGGGTTTTTACCCTCATGTGGGTTTTTACCCGGGTGGAAACCCATCTCTAGTTGTCACCGGGGTCGAACTGTTGTAGGGTCCAGCAGTCATTTGAAGTAAGTCAAAAGTGTTGAGCGTAGAAAAAATCGAGTTGTCGCAGGGGTCGAGTTGTCGCAGGAGTCGATTTGTCCCGGGGTCGAGCTGTGCGTGATACCATTTTAAATCGGTCAAAAGTGATTTAATGTGTATTTTTTGAGAGTTGATTGTGATTTTTTATTTTTTGACATAACTTTTCTGAGACATACCAGACTTGAGCTGTCATTTATAATAAAATCATAGTATTAGCATGTACTATCATATAAAGTAGGTATTAAAGTGCTACAGTTCTGAGGACGGAGTTCATACAAAATGTCCCATTGTTCTATTGTTTTTTTTATTTTTGTGTGAAAATCTTAATGCGGTTTACAAAATACATCTACTTACCAAGTTTTAACACCAACCACCAACTCTTATAGTTTCGGAAAAAAGTGGCTGTGACATACGGACGGACAGACAGACATGACTGACGAATCTATAAGGGTTCCGTTTTTTGCCATTGGCTACGGGACCCTAAAAAGGCCTTTCGACCACTTTTCGACTGGTTTGCGATTATAATGTGCACTTTGTCTAGACCCATAAAAATGAAAATGGAGCGTAACTGGAGTGTGGGCAGAATTAAACGCGAATGAAGTGGAGACAATACAAAATTTACAAATCAGTCAGCGCAATCGGGGCCCTAGCCGCCCTACATTCACAATAGAAACGAAAAATCACCTGTAAGATACGATACGATACGAAACCGATACGACTTTAAACGACCCACTATTGTTGGAATGTGTTGTGACATCATATCAAGTTATACACTATTGTGTCATATCCGGCTTACAATAAGTGTTATTTTGCAATAAAAATCTGATGTGCTGTCACTGTTCTCCATTTTCTAGTCTTGTTTATAGTTCCAAAATACTGAACTGTCCTGTGCATGACATTGACAGTGGGGCGCCACCGTCAATACCGGATTGCTGGTTTCGATTTTTGCCATGTTGGAAACCATATAGTTGAACGATGGTAGCGCCCCCCTGTCATTGAGTTTGGTGGGACAGTTCAGCGTGGGTCATCTATACTCCATGGTTTATAGATGACCCACGCTGAATTGTCCCGCCAAACTCAATGACANTATACTCCATGGTTTATAGATGACCCACGCTGAATTGTCCCGCCAAACTCAATGACAGGGGGGCGCTACCATCGTTCAACTATATGGTTTCCAACATGGCAAAAATCTGAACCAGCGATCCGGTATTGACGGTGGCGCCCCACTGTCAATGTCATCGACAGGACAGTCCAGTATTTTGGAACTATACTCTATGTTCCTTCCTTTCTTTTTTCTCTGTGGTTGTGGAGCGAAAATGCTAAAATGGCCGAATTTTGGGCTAGTGTTTTAATTTCTAAATACTAACTCTTGTATCACGTCGTTATCGCTTTGTGTTTACGGATTAACAAGTTTCAAACTTAACTTCGTGCTATCTACGAATGCTATAATAACTAGGCTCAGTAAGACTACTACTTTCACCATGAGTGAAACTGCCAACAATGAAGGAACCTCTGCGGAGAGTGAAAAGCCGGTTCAAGACTCGACCGATAATGTTGTATTCCCGCCTTTCCCTGGTAACAAATATATGCTTACTATGTAATAAAAATGGTTATAAATCTTAATCTACATCCATTATTTTAAATCAATTCTTTACAGATCCAACTGAAGAAGAATTTGAAGAGGATATCTCTGATGCGGAAAGAACTCATTATAGGACGAAGTTTTCTGGTATGTTATTCTTATAACGTCAAGCAGTCATTTGCACTTTCGCATTCATCGCCTGATACTTATGGCTTTCTTTATTTATTTCCAGATTTGAATGTTATAAAATCTATGCGATTACATTGTTCTGCTTGTGATCGCCATTTGGGAAGTTCCACTCGCAATGAGACTCGTATGCGCGCTCATCCTATGCTACGTACATTAGTGTGCCACACATGCCATACTTTTTATAATAGCGGTGAATTTGAAAAGGGAGATGATGGCTCAGAACTTTATTGTCGATGGTGTGGGCAGGGTGGGCAAGTGTATTGTTGTTCAGATTGCCCTCATGTATTTTGTGCGGTAAATATTATTTCTTTTGCTGTAAACATGATTTACAATAGTATGTACTCAGTTTAAATGATTGCAACTTTTCAGAAATGCATTAAACGCAACCTTGGTGTTGCAAAAATTAAAGAAATAGAAAATACTGATGACTGGAAATGTTTTAAATGTAATTCAAGATGCCTTTGGGACCTTCGTGCTGTGTGTTGGGCACTTCTGCGCTATTGTGACTTGAAGAACAAGTAATTATGTTTATTATTTAACAACAATATAAAACTAGCTATATAAAAGATATTATATTTCTTTCCCATATTGCATTGGCGATTTGTTACTTCTATTTATTTTGTTTTATTTCTTCTACTGTTTTTTTATTCATACTTACTAAAAGGCAATGCCAGATTTTGTATAGGAGGTGGCATCTTTTTTTTATCGCCATCGACCAAACCTTGTTTTTTTATTACAAAATATGTAGTGTAATAAACCAAACTTACCATCAGATGTATACCTCTAAACTCAATCTGAAACTGAGTTACGAGCTTTAGAAGTTTGATGATTTTACATATTAGGTTTGCCTTTTGCGCACAAGTTTTGTAAGAAATTGCAACAAAATAGTGACATTGTATGTGTAAACAAACAATACCATCTATTATAGAAAAAAAAAGACGCCAATTTCCGGCATTGTCTTTTGTTACTGTAATTTTGATATTTCTTATTCTATTATTAACATATTAAAAGTACTTTTAACATTTCAGGATAACTTATAAAACAGAAGATCCACTACTGAAAGAAAAATATCAAAAAGATTGTGCTACTGATCATTCCGATTGCTGTAAACATAAATCAAATAGAAGGAAAGAAAAATCTGAATCAGCAAAGAAAAGAGACGAAATTAAAAAGGAAAATGAAACAAAAAAAGCTATATCAAAAATTCCTTCTACTATTCAGGTAACTATTAAATTAATAAATACTTCATAATTTTCTAGGTTGTTATGTTCAATCTCTGCTTTTTAATAAACTTATGAGTATCGACTAATTTTTGAGCCAAAATGCTGATATGAATAAAAGTTATGAAAACTATTTAGCCATTGTTAAACGCGCATTGGGTTCAGTCTACTTAATTTTTTTATTAAACCAAGATTACTTTTTAGAGAAGTAACACATAATTCAATATCATTTCACTATAACTTACTGAATATCCTAATTAAACTATTTTTGTGAAATACAGGTAAAAAAATTTGCATCTATCAATCTTGAAGAACAACCAAAAGAAAAAAAAGGTCAAAAAAGACCTGCAACTCAAGAAAAGGGTTTACTTATCATCAAAAACCCAATAGCAATAGCTCCGTGTTCAAAAAATATGAGCCCCACTATTTGTGGACCTCAACCGAAAAAACCAAGGGTATGATTATTTTTTTAAACAAATACATAACATAGTACACATTCTAGTTTAATTGTGAAATTACTTTTTAATTACAGATGCCTGTAGTGGTAAATCCTGTTAGATTTGCACAAGATAGGAAAGCAGTAGCAGCTACATATACAAGAATAAGGCCAAAATCTGTAATGCCAGTACCATTGCCACCTCTAGTACCAACAAATTATAATGGATATAATAATATTAATAACTCGTTTATTAACAACACCTACCACACTCCATATAACATGGTGGCTTCCGATAATATTAATTTATCTTTGGAAAGTTTAACACAGGTAGTAATTTATTTAATTGCTGAAATTCTTCAATCAGCCAAATCAATTTCTGTTTTTAACTATTATTTTAAACAGTTAATCGTAATAATTTTACTAACCGTTTGTCTTTAGGGACTTGATATGGCTGTGGCAACTATGACTACAAGTCAAGATGATGATGTCGTGTGCACTCCTGATTTTCCATTGGAGCCTTTATGTGAGGTAATAATCACTAATGTTTTTTGTACTTTATCTTTTGCTAGGTTAGGCTAGGCTAGCTTAAACAGTTTTTGCAGGTTTGATTCGATTTCTGTAAAGATTCAGTGATTTTAACTTAAATTTACAGGGTGTTAGGTAAATGGGTATATGAGCCGACACTAGCCCATGTTAACATGGGCATATAAATGGTATGGTGAAGTCAGAAAATTGATATCTTCATTTTAATTATTTTAATTTTCATACAAATCGGATTTTATAAAATTTATTTTGTATGAAAATTAAAAAAAATTAAGTGATGATATCAAATTTCTGACTTCACCATACCATTTACAACGTGTCCCAAAATTCAAGGATAAGCCGACGCCACAGGATGGACATAGTCATGACTACTTTAGGAAAAATAAGGAAAAAAATCTATGTCAATTATTTTTTTACTTACACAATAAATTATGAAATTCGACGAAAATTCACACCCCTTATGATATTTTACATTACCACGACCACAATTTTTCACATATTCCTGTTTTTCTGTTTATATCGGCAACTTAAGTAGTGCTGCTGTTCACCTCAACTCTTAAAACCCCCAGAATCCTTGCAGTTTTTACACAAAAGTTAATCAAAATATGTTATTTGCTTAAAATTTTGAACAATTTTTACTTTCACTCCACTTTGACTCATCGTTTTGTAAAAAAAGCCATGAGATTGAGAAACAACTAAAAAGCTTAAAATAAAGTTGTAATAAAAAAAAACTTGTTTAAAAACAAGCTTGACTTCGTTTGAAAATTATAATTGACTTCATCATCAGGACCCTGGACATCATCTAGCACTAAAGTGCTCGAAAAGACAAATCCAACGAACCCAAACTCGATAAGCTTCCGCCGTTTCGTTTAGGAGTTCCTATGGCCACCTCCTGCCACCTCTTGACTTCATCATCAGGACCCTGAACATCATCTAGCACTAAAGTGCTCGAAAAGACAAGTCCAACGAACCCAAACTAGATGTAATTTAAGGATTGGATACTTCCCAGACCTGTGGAAGGTATCGAGTATCATAATGATCCATAAACCTGGGAAACCTATTCACGAAGTCACATCATACAGACCAATCAGCCTCTTGCCGATCATGTCAAAGCTACTTGAAAAGTCTATACTTCAAAGAATGATGAAAGTGATAACGGAAAGATCAATAATCCCGGAACATCAATTTGGCTTCAGAGAAGAACACGCAACTATTGAACAGGTACATAGAGTGTGCAGAGTAATCAGATCTTCAATGGAGAAAAAAGAATACTGCTCATCTGTTTTTCTTGATATCCAACAAGCCTTCGATCGAGTCTGGCACAAAGGCCTATTGTGTAAGATCAAATCAATATTGCCACACACATTCTACGGAATCCTGAAATCGTATTTGTCTGACAGAATCTTTCAAGTGAATGAGAATGACTGCACCTCCAACTTCTATCAAATATCGGCAGGAGTCCCCCAGGGTTCTGTATTGGGACCAATCCTATACACCCTGTACACATACGACCTACCGCAGAGCCCAGAAGTCACCGTCGCAACCTTCGCTGATGACACGGCTTTACTGACATCCTCCAAATGTCCTATCGAAGCTTCTCGAATCCTGCAAAACATCTTGAATGAAGTTCAAAAATGGCTGGCCAAATGGAGAATAGCAGTCAGTGCATCCAAATCGGTGCACATAACCTTTACCCTCCGTAAAGGAGACTGTCCTGCAGTTACCCTAAACGGCGTCCAATTACCACACCAAGAAACTGTAAGATACCTGGGCATGTACTTGGACCGTAGACTTACGTGGAGTAAACATGTACAAACCAAACGAGACGAAACTAACCTAAAATACAAGGGTCTCTATTGGCTGCTGGGGCGCAATTCAAAACTATGTTTGGATAACAAGCTGCTCATATACAAAATGATTCTGAAGCCCATTTGGACCTACGGCATCCAGTTGTGGGGCTCTGCAAGTGCCTCTAATATCATGATAATTCAGAGAGTGCAAAACTACGTCCTAAAACAAATATCGAATGCACCATGGTTTATAAGAACAACAGAGCTGCACGAGTTATTGAACGTGCCTATGGTGAAGCAAGAGATAGACACCCATGGAAACAGCTACAAGCTAAGACTGTCAAAGCACCCGAACCAGTTGGCTGGGCAGCTCACTATCCCAGAAACCATACGGCGGCTTGAGAAGCGGCGGGATATCTTCGACAATTAGTCTGAAAATAAACCAGAGATTAAGAAAAATAAAGGCCTGTTTCCGCTGGGAGCAGTGCTCTAAATGACGAAAAGAATCCACCCCATCTGCTTATAGTTTTTGAGGACTGATCGCATGATTAAACCATAAAACAAAAAAAATTATAATTAAGTACTAATAAATTCCACTACTTTATACAAAGACTANGCACTAGGTACTGTAAGAGTCAAACCTGCCAACATAACAGTGCAAGAAACAGTGCTGCTAACATTTAAATAAATATGACGTTTGCTTTGCTAACGAATAAGGTTTCAGTGCAATGCAATGATGACATTAACCAATTGACAATAGTTTTTTTTTTTTTTTTTTTTTTTTCCTGGCACGCACGGTTTGTGCATTTGCCAATGACGAGGTGAATAGAAATAATAATGGCAGGTTGAACCAACAAGAAGGTTTTAGTTTACCAATCTTAATAATCTTCTTGACAAGATAAATCGTCAAACAACTTTGATCTGAATAATTTTGAACTTTACTGACGAACAGTTAAAGATTATTTTCTCTAACTCGAGATTATTCTGTAACATAGTTTCAAAAGGTAATATGTGCTCGCGATTCGTTGAAGGAATCAATTTGAAAACTGACGAACCTTTTCATTCCGTGACTGTACAATCTCGGAAGGCGGTTGAGATACTGAGTATCAATATCAATATTGATTGTCGTAATTGATGGAAAATAATAAATAAATCTTTATCTTAATAAAATGTCGGCGGGCATCTTATTTATATGTATATTTATTAATTTTTAAAATCACTTTTATTCCAGGTGACGGAAGATAACACGGACGATGATGTGCAGTGTATTACTCCAGGTCCTGTGGCTGCTCCAAAGGTTAGCACTCCGACCCTACACCGTTCAGATAATTCATCGGAACTGGTCACTGATAACATCATACAAATGACCGACAATGATGTCACTGTCAATGCTTTGACTGGAGGTTTAAAGTTCAGAGTCGACCCTCAAACATTATCATCGAACAAAATGTACCGATTACCAGACGGTCGCATATTTGCTATTAAAGCGAACCCAAATATGCCAGGTGGATATTCTGCTACTATAGTGGCTCTTGCAGAAACTGGGCAAGGAAAAAATGTTGCTCCTAAAGGCGCCACATACTCGGCAAAACTTAGTGCAGTCTCAACACCATCAAAACCGAATCGCGCCAATCAAAATGTGAGATCAAATACTAAAAGGAGTACACCAAAAGCCACTAAAGCAAATCGAGCAAATGATACTTCATCAAGAGAATGTGATTTGCAGGTTCCTGTAGAGTGGTATAGATATAATTTACTAGACGCAATTGACGCTATGGAATATTCTTTAGCGCGACTAAATAAACTAAAAAATGAAGCTACTTCAGTTTACTTACGAACTCGAACTGTTGATGAAATGAGAAACATGCACAGGTCTTTAGAACGATTACTGAACACATCGTCAACTAGATTTTCAGAAATTAAAGAAAACTTGAATAAGGAATTAAAACAATATATCATGAAAAAATATGGAGAAAACAACAGTGAAGATGATGATGATGTTGAAATTTTGATGCCTGAAGATAATGATGATCCCATATTTATTGACGAAAATTCCATGGAATCTACAAATGAAATCAATTGTACTCAGAATCAAGAAGTTGATCTCACAGGTGTCGGTAGTAGTGATCATAATGATAGTGCAGAAAATAAAGCTGATAATATCTCAGCAATAGAAAACATATCCCAAATGTCAGAGGATATAGATGAGAGTGTAAATAAGTTAGGAAGCTTGGGAAAAGATTCTCAGAGTGCAGATGACATGGGTAGTCCCAATAATGATGGTGACAAAGTGTCCTTGAATGATGCTGACACCTCAATTGGGGGAGAAAACGGGAGTGGGACAAAAGAAGGAGACGACATTAAAATGGTTGAAAAAATTGAGGACCACACTGGAACGACAGATGAAGGAAGTGCTATCTCAAGCAAAATAAGTGATGCACAGCTTTCTGAAAATAATCACATTACAGCAGAATCTGATAACGGAACCAAGGCACAAATTAATGGTAACACTGAAAAGACCGAAGAGAAAAGTGATAATAGTGTTGTTAAGGAAGAGCTTTTAAAAGACGATGAGAAGAAAATTGGTAAAGATAATGATAATGAGGAAAAAGTAGATGATCCTGAAATGAGTGAAGAAATGATAGAAACCCTTTTGAAAGATGATAACGTCGATGAAGGCGACAGTTTGATAAGCAACAAAGCCATGGAAGTTACTGAAAGCCTTTAATAATTTTTTTTATTTTTTATTTCCTGTTAGTTATAGTTAATAAGTCGTAAGTTGAATGTTTTTGTGCTACAAATATAATTAAGGTAGATCCAAGTATAAAGCCAATAATATATCCAATTTGGTCAGATTATTTTCTATTAATGTAGTCTGTACTATCTGTGTATGTTTCTATTCTATTTTTTTGTTATCATTTTACATTTTGTAAGAATGTAAATTTAGGTATAACTACGTAATAAAGAACAAAACTCAAAAGTTCAAAACTCGATAATATGCTATTATGCTAGATAACACATATTTTAATCATTTGTTAGACACAGACAGACATTGGACACGTACTTTTTCTCTTTTTTTTCATAATTATGTATTATCAGTGCTACATCAAGTTGAAATGACGTGTGACGTTATGCATGTAGATTTTTTTCTTAGAAGTGACGTTACGCGACTATTCCAACTACTACAATTATTCGAATAAATAAGACAAAAATACGTGTCCAATATTTTTTTTTATTATCTGTCTAACGGACTAAATAGAATTTCAATAGAAATTCTGACTCGGTAATGAAATATCATTACCGAGTCATCATCCCAATTATTATTTCAAGCACGGATTGAGACTTGATTGGTTAAATTCATCAAAAAATCTGTCCTGTGATTGGTCTAAAATTTAGACCAATCACAGGACAGATTCTATGACTGACATTGAATTAATTTTTGAGTGTTGTTTTGAATTACGGACACATCGTGAAAAAATGTACTACCTACTATTTATCCGCGGTATTTAACTTAGTACATTATTCAATAAATACTACAAAAGGTTAACATTTACAATTATTATAAAATATTACTGACCAGACTAAATAAAACATGTAATTAAAATAATATGGTTTTAGTAATTCATACAGATCAATCGCACATCCGTGATTCTATTCGAAATTAGTTAAAATAGCTAATTAAATAAAAGTATGTGGTTAAATTTAAGTATGTATCTGTGAAATAAGTTGTCATTTTAAATATTAATTTATTTAAATATCTGGTAACGTAGACCGATTCAATTGACTAGCCCATAATTTACGATTTATATACACGCTGTTTGGGTTTTATCCACTAGGTGACTAGATGCTGTCAGATTATACAGCAATTCGTATTCGTACGTTTCCTTTGCAATATATATACATGAACCATTACTGACAATATCATACGGCACAACAGCAGTAACATTCAAGAAATCGTCTGTAAGGTCAAGTAAGGTGTATCTGCTGTTTTTTTATCCTTAAAAAATATATGCTAGGTATGTTAGACCTGGCTAATATTTGGCGTGCATACTATTACGGCTGGTCGGGCCAGCATGTGGACGGTCGTTACGTCGTTTCATACTACTATTGGATCTTTTTCATGTTCGTTTTTGTGTAGCGTCCTCCTCTTTGGCCATGGTTTGTGTGGCACAGCAGTTTCTTGAAGCCGGAGACGAAGTCAGTCATTTATGATAATTTCCATGGCTGTGTAAAATATGATATCACTAGCTTTTGCGAGCGGCTTCACCCGCGTGAAATTTAGTTTGTCACAGATCGTCATAAATTAATAGCCTATATGTTATTCTCGGTTATAAAGAATAATACTGTAAGGTTTCATTAAAATCCGATCAGTAGTTTTTGCGTGAAAGAGTAACAAACATCCATCCAGACGTCCAAACTTTCGCATTTATAATATTAGTGGGATTCGTATTAAAGTGCCCATTTATCGATTGAAGTAGTTTACCATTAAAACATACTTATTTCACATTATAGGGAAGGCTTACTGATTTATTTATTCTAAAATTATGTAAAATCTCGAGTATGCCTACAAGATGAGATGTTTTGCGTGTTTTTGTTTAGGAATAAGTTAGTTATCTAGATTCTAATGAAGTTTTCTTAAGGTTACAAAATACACTGGTCATCACAAAAATCGACCCTCCCGCAACAAGCACTTTCAAACGTATGCATCCCCACTTCCCACTAATATTGGCACCATTTAAAAGCCTAGAACTAGTTCTAAACTTCATTTCATTAAAGAAAAGGTTTTTACCCCAAAAATGTGTCTGTAGAAGAATGCAGAGTCACTCCTTCAAAAAATAGGTAGTTACGCTTGAGCCAACTTTTATGTCTATAAAACTGTTAAGTTGCGATTAATCGCTATCGAACTGTTAAAGAGGACACGTGAGATCATTATTTGGTTTTATAACCATAAAAAATGGTCTAATTGATCCCAGAGGTGAGCCCAAAGTGTGGTCAAGTCCACATTTATTGTATATGTTAACCGTTTAAATCGTTTATTAAGAAATTAAATGTGATTTTCTTTAAGGATATTTATTGGGCTTTCAAATAACACCAATATTGTTGGGGCACCATGATTGTGTCAGTAGAAACGAGTTTTCCTGTAAAACATAGGTGGGCCGATTTTTGTGATGACCAGTATATTTAGGGATATATATTCTGCGATTTAATTCATCTTATGATCCAATTGGGATGTATTTGTTCAGGCTTACTCAGGTTGGACTCCTCGAAAGGTCGTACCCATGGCATACGGGCACATACCTAATTATAATTCGTTGTGGAAACTTCATCTTGTAGGTAAGCACCAACACTTTCTTTGTTATGTTTTTCATAATGTTATTTTACTTTTGTTAAGTTAAGTTAGTGAAAAACTGTGGATAAGAATATCGTAACAGGCATAGATTTGAATTTATTATAATTTCAGATTAAACAGCCGCTCAATGATTGGTCTTGTAGCCCTTTAATTAAATACGCGTTATTTAAAGGTAGACCTAAAAATGGTTTTCAGCTTTTGATGTCAAATAAATGCAGAGACCGGTACAAAAAAGCTTACACCTTCTTCTATTTCGGTCTTTGCATGACAGTTATTGAACGGCTGTATAAAGAAGCTGGCTACGTTGTAAATACAGGGTGTTTGGTAAAATGTCAAATGACTAAATTATCAAAAAAATCTTTTCTACATAATAATGGACTAATTTGCATACTTTTTAAAAACATTTCTTTTGTATTCGCTTGCAATAGGTCATCTTTGAAGAAATTTTTAACAGGAAAAAAAATCTCATTGAGTTATTTTATTTATAATATTTTTCTTTAATGATGATTGGAAGTCGACCGCAAGCCGTAATCACGATTGCCAATATTATCGTACTTTCAAAATAGCATTTATTTTGCTTGAAATTATGTTATTGTTATAACAACGCCGCGGCGCCCTTTGTTGTTTATTTTCAACTTCTTTATTTATACTACTTTATAAAATATAGACATAAAAGTGCGTTAGAAATTAATAAGCACGAACATATTAAATTATAGTACATTATTATGTTCATTTTATATCTAACGTTTATAAACTGATGGTTAAACGTGTAAGAAGTATTTGTAAATATTATAAACTGCTTTTCCAACTGATGATGTTTTATAGACCATGCCTGTGGCAACTATTTGAAAGGAGTACATTACAGTACATACACACATTTTATATATAACTTTTAAGATGCTACTATAAAAGCTTCTTAGTAAATTAATATAATGTAAATAAGAATTTAGCACGTTTTCATAAAGCTTATCTGTATGTTATAGAATATGCGGATGTATAAGAATGTGATCATTGTGATCTTATCTAGCGAATACGTGGGGTTTGTTTAGTAAGACGAATACATTAAATGTGGTATTTCATATTATGACTATTTAATTTATAAAACGCTGTCTAAGGTACGATGCCCATTGACCGGGGCGCGTCGGAGCGCACTTACACGGCCGTAAAGAAAATGGTATTTTATTAACAGTTCTTAGAGTAGTAATTGCTTATAACTGATTAAACTGACATTTCAATCCGGACGGCGCGGCTGCGCGAGCATGCGTCGGAAGCCGGTCGGCTCCGAGCGTATTCCAGCGGGTTCGCGAGCGCGACTCGCGCCGTTCAATGTGAATCCTGCCTTATTAACAGCTCTTAGAGGCGTAATTGCTTTCAACTGATCAACTGACATTTCAATCCGGACGGATGCGCGAGCATGCGTCGGAAGCCGGTCGGCTCCGCGCGCAATCCACCGCATTTCTACTCTGCGCTTCGCGCCGACTCGCGCCGGTCAATGTGATTCCTGCCTTATCCTTTCGTACTTTAACCATGTCCGACATATACTTACGAGCAAAAGTATGGAATCACCCCCTTGTGTTTTGTTCCGAGCCATCTTAAGAACTGAATGCCTATGAATGTATCTATGGTATCAATTTAAAGTATACAGGGTGTTACTTTGCATTCTTGCCATATTTACAGAGGTTACTATATTACTGATACTGAACACAAATCCGTAAAAAAATATTGCCCGAAATTTTTTTTTTCTAATCTTGATTATTTTATTTTATCGACACTCTGTTAAACACACCACTAATTATCGTAACGCATGCACATCACTTGTTGGCGATGGCGATGGAGACTTTTTTACTTTTTATTGTATTTTTAAATATCTATTGCAATCTATTGTCTTTAAAATGTCTTTTTGACACTTGTAAAAAACAGTAATTCATCAATCACAAATCACGTTATAAATAATACAAAAATGTCTGAAGCGTATTCAAACAACGAATAATTTAATCAAAATGGTGCTTGGAGTGTCTGCAAGACGTCTCGACGAAATGCTTGATGACGTACCCTTAGCGTTACACCAAATGCTCTACTACCAGCAGGATGGTGCTCCCCCACAATAAGGACGTCAAGTGCGCGATTAATACGTTTGGTGAACAGTGGATTGGATGAGGGGTCCAGTAGCTTGGCCACCACGATCCTCGGACCTGACACCAATGGATTTTTGGAGTGACTTGAAACGACTGGTATGCGCAGAAGAGATAAACAGTGTTAACGCGTTACATGAAAGGATTGTTTTAGTGAAACTGTGATACAAAACGTTTATGTGTTGCGAAAACTAAAGCGAAAAACCTACGCTTCGCCGTGCTAGACTGTGCCTTCATCAGAACGGAGGACACTTTGAACACTTGCTTCGCAGTACGTAAACTTTGTAAGTAGGAACTTATGAATAAATAATTAATTGTGAATAAGGTGAT